GCAGGAGTTTAGTATAAGGGGGCAGGGGTTTAGTATAAGGGGAGCAGGGGTTTAGTATAAGGGGAGGCAGGACTTTAATATAAGGGGGGCAGGGGTTTAGTATAACAGGGCAGGACTTTAGTATAAGGGGGGCAGGAGTTTAGTATAAGGGGAGCAGGGGCTTAGTATAAGGGGGCAGGGGTTTAGTATAAGGGGAGCAGGGGTTTAGTATAAGGGGGGCAGGGGTTTAGTATAAGGGAGCAGGGGTTTAGTTGAAGGGGAGCAGGGGCTTAGTATAAGGGGAGGCAGGACTTTAGTATAAGGGGGGCAGGGGTTTAGTATAAGGGGGGCAGGGGTTTAGTATAAGGGAGCAGGGGTTTAGTTGAAGGGGAGCAGGGGCTTAGTATAAGGGGAGCAGGGGTTTTGTAGAAGGGGAGCAGAGGTTTATGTAGAATGAGTGCAGGACTTTTGTAGAGGGTGGCAGTGGTTTTGGTGGACGGGGAAGGTTTTTAGTGATATTATGTGAACATTGCTGTATAGTTGATATATATAATGATAGCATGTGTTTTGTTAAAGGGGGAGAAAAAAAATTATAGAAGGGTGGGCAGGGGTTTTATTAAAGGGGGAGCAGGGGTTTTGTAGAGGGGGCAGGGTTTTGTAAAAAGGGGGGCAGGGTTTTTGTAGAAAGGGGGGCTGGGGTTTGTGGAAGGGTTTTGTAGAAGGCGGAACAGGGCTATTGTAGAAGGGGCAGAGGTTTTGCTGAAGGGGGGGGGGGCGCCATATGTTGGGCTCGCACAGGGCGTCTGATCACCTAAGGCCGGCCCTGAGTATGCTGGTCTGATTGAAAGTATTCCGATAATATCAAACACACTACCCACAAAATACATACAATGCAATCTACTTAAAGGGACACTCCAGGTACCTTGGCCCCTTCAATGTATATAAAAATTAAAAGTAATATAATATGCCTTTACTTGGATGTTACTTGGGATTTACTTGGGATGTTTACAAAAATCAAATATTGACTTAAAACTGATCAAATATTGCAAGCACCCAAAAAGTCTAAGCTCTCTTTTTGTGGTCTCTCTCTCTCTCTCTCTCATGACTCTCAACCAACCCAATTTATGCAGGACAGTCCTGATTTTCAAATCGTATCCAGCTGTTCTGACTTTGTTCGCTGGTGTACCACTTTTGAGAACACCAAGGAACTGTCGCCAACAAGTGCAAGTGCGTCATTAGATGGGCTCATGCTGCACTGAGGGTACAAAGTCAAAGAAAGAAACAACAACATTGAAACTTTAATTTATGGTAAAAAAAATAAACAAAAAAAAATGTGTTGTCCTATAAGGGTTCTCGCTATCCATATAAATTATTAAATCAACAGTATTATAACATATATCATATAGAAGTGATTTTTTTTTTTAGATAATTAGCCTGTCCTGGATACTCCCTGTATAAATAGTGGTCCGTTTAACATTTACTGTACCTTTCATTGCTAATCAAACAAATAGTATATGCACTTCAAATATTAAAAAAAATTCTATAAAATCACTTTTAAACTCTTTAGTGCATCTATTTCTTCAGTGTTTGGAGTCGTATTAAGTTAATAGGTTTAAAGTACTAGGTTCCTGTTTTATAAGCAATTTGTGACGCTGTATCATCTTGTTACTTTCAGCACGTTTCAATGAACTTCACTTTGTGGAAACATTAATATCTGCTGTTACTATGAGTTCTAACACTGGCAGAGCATTTCCTCTTGTGCTTCCCTCCTATCCTAGAGGGGCTCAGGCTTCACATCTGGATCCATTTAAAAAACGATCCTGGAAATTTATCCTCCTGGTTTCCCGGTAAATGCTAAGCGCAGGAAAACAAATGGCACTTGTTTTTCAGACAGTTTTGACAGCAATCCAAAAACCAGACCAGGCGATTGCCTGCCTAGAACTTGTTGGTAAAGATATTAAGTTAACCATTTTGTAACACAATAAGACAGCTTGAAATATGACCCCACTCTTCTGCACAAAAATTATGTAGATAATTAAAGGGAGATTACTCTGTTTCTTTTGTTTTCTTTCTTTACATTTTCATCCTTAAAGGAACAGCCATAATAGTACAATACTAACAATACACTCTGCCAATATTTCAGCAAATCAAAATAGCTATTGTAAATTTAGAATTTGAAATATATACTGTTTAGTATATGTAATTTTTAATATGTATATTCTTATACATATTTGTATTTGGGGGAGGCCCCTGCTGTAGGCCTACTAATAAATTCAGCCCAGTGGACATGTGCTGTAGGTAATGGTAAATCCCGCCCAGTGGACAGGACTATCCGCCATTCAGCTATAGTGGGGACAGAATGGCATGAAAGAGTTAATTAATCCAGACCGCTAACTTATCAGTGCTCCCAAACATGACACAAGTGACTTCCACATCTTGAGCTCCCCCAGAACAGTGGCACTGGTTTATAATAAGACTGGAGTATTGTAGCACTATTATAACAGGAACTGGATATATTGTAGGAACTTTTCACTATTACAATGGTGCGCTGACTAAGAGAAACAGGGAGACAGATTCACTGTATGCCTAGTGAGCAATGATACCTTGAGGCTATGAAATCAATGAAGCCAATGGAATGGCCTATACAAGATACTGATAGACATGTCTAATGTCAAAGCCAGTGAGTGGGTGTTTCATTGGTAATCCTGGGTCAATGTCACTAAGTGACCTATGCTGACTATAACAGTCTAGGAGTAACAGAAAAATCAGTGAGGGATATTTTTAGATAATATATTTAATTCCAAATTAAGACAATAAGGAGAAGTGGGGGAAACAAAAAGTCTCCAAGCTGAACACTGCAACTCTCTGCAACTGATTTACCTGTCACTGCCAGCATACCTTGATGGCAAATTATTCACAGTATAAGGGAGGTACTCATCTGATGCCTTTTATATTCTCCCCAACAGTGAAAAAGGCGAGCCGAAAGTTTAGGACCTACACAGCCTCTCAGCTGACTGGAGTGGCATACCTCGCCCCTGAATCACCTGTTGACTACTTGTTCTTCCCACTGTTGAAAGGTGACTGACACCTGACTTACACATAATGGGGAGAAGATCCCAAATACTGAAAGACTCAGAGATTAACTCAGAGGACCAGCATATGTAGACAAGGTCTTCTGTGCCTACGCCATTAGTGCTGGCAAAGAAGGATACAAAGCAGGATATTCACAACTTGCTACAAGATATTAAAAAGCTCTTCGCAGTGGACCTAGAGTTGGTTTATAAGTAGACGTTCAAGTGGTCCCAAGCCACCTTCAGCAGCCTCCTGCAATGTCATTGTTAGGAGCAAATCACTCTCTGACAGAAACTAAAACATTACAGCACTACATGCACTGTGTGCCTTTGAGTCCTCCCAACGTACTTATTTCACAGACCTGCATCGATCCATGCTACACTGGAGAAGATCTCCGAGTCCAATCAACAAGAAGGGTGGTGGGGTATGTTTGTATGTCAAACATGATTTAAAGCCAAATGTTAAGCAAATGGAATGCGAGGAGGATAATGTGGAAGCTTTATGGGTAAATATCTGCTTGGGGAAAAGAAGGGAAACCAACTATTGGTTGGGATATGTTATAAACCACCTAATGTTAATATTGACGAGGAACAACAGCTGTTTGAGCAAATTGAGAAAGCTGCAAATCTAGGTAACACTTTAATTATTGGAGATTTTAATTAACCGGATATAAATTGGGACAGAGGGACTAGTGCCTCAGCAAAGGGAATTAGGTTTTTAAACT